GTCAAATCCCAAAGTGAAATCTGGCTTGATAGTTCATAAGTTTAATTTTTTTAGCTGCAATGGTGGTTAATTACTGAACATGTTCACACAAGGCTGCCAATGTGATTTTTTTAAAGTAAACACGTTTATTACACAAAAGCAAATCAAAAAAAAGTTTAGAAAGGAAATGTACAGCAAAAATAACACTTTAACCTTTCCAGATGCTTGATCCAGTGAAATATGACTCCTATTTTAACTCCTTAATGTCTTATTTGACTCTTTCTAGTTTTGTTGGCTTAAACCTCATTTTAGTTCCGCCAGTTTGAACACCTTACACACTTGAAGACTTAGCAAAGCCTCACCACCTGGATATTCTACAAATTACATTCTCCCAGTCTGGAGATTTCCACACAGGTAACAGGCTGTCGTTCTGCTGGAAATAAACTGATCTCCTGAACTAGACTCAAATCACTAACGGTTGCTGGTCTTTTTCTTCCGTATGTCATAAAAGTTCCAATTTGTAAACACAATCAATTATGCTCCTGGGGGAGGTGATAGCCTAGAGTTATTGTCATTAGACCAATAATCCAGAGACCCATGTTCTCGGGACCTGGATTCAAATTCCATCACATCAGATGGACACCCTGCCTCACCCTGCTTGGCTGATGAATCAATATCATGTTGAACACACTGAGTGTGGAAAGAGCTCAGAATGTACTCTGGGTGGGGACTTCAATGTCCACCACTAAGGGTGGCTCAGTAGCTGCGCTGCTGACCGAACTGGTTGAATCCTAAAGGGCGTAGCTGCCAGACTGGTCTGTGGCAGGTGATAGTAAAAAAAAATACTTGACTTCAATCTTACTAACCTGCAGCCACAAATACATCCGTCCACGACAGTATGAATAAGAATGACTACCACACAGTCCTTGTGGAGATGAAGTCGCATTGTCACTCTGAGAATACACTCCATTGTGTTGTGTCGCACAATCACCACGCTAAATGGAATAGATTTCAAACAGATCTAGCAACTCAAGACTGGGCATCCATAAAGTGCTATGGGCCATTAGCAAGCTGCAGAATTGTACTCCAACACATTTATGACCTCATGGAAAGGCATATCCTTCACTTTACCATTACTATCAAGATGGAGGATCAATCCTAACTCAGTTTAGAGTGCAGGAGACATTCCCGGAAGCAGCACCAGACTAGAACCAATGGATCAGATCTAAGCTCTGCAGTCCTGCCACATCCAGTCGTGGATGGTGCCGGACAATTAAACAACTCACTGGAGGAGGTGGCTCCACAAACCTCTCCATCAATGCAAAAGATAAGGCCAAACCATTTGCAACAACCTTCAGCTAGAAATACTGAGTGGATGATCCATCTCAGCCTCCACCAGAGGTCACCAGCACCAACGATACCAATATTCAGCCAATTTAATTTTCTCCTTGTGATATCAACAAATGGTTGGAGATTCTGGCTACTGTAAAAGCAATGAGTCCTGACAACATTCCATGAATAGTGCTGAAGTGCTTCAGAACTTGCTGCATCCCAGGACAGCTACAACGTAGTCAACATGGAAAATTGCCCAGGTTTGTCCTACACACAAAAAGCAGTACAAATCCAAACTTGCCAATTACTGTCCCATCAGTCTAGTCATGATCATCAGTTAAATGATGAAAAGTGCTATCAACATGGGTCCCAACATGAACAACTGAGATGAATTTCAGAGATAAGGTGAGAATGAACCTGAACCAAAGATCCACTACCCACCATGAACAGGAACAATGTCATATACAAGATTCCCTGCAAAGACTGCGACAAACATTACATTGGACAGACAGGAAGGAAATTAACCACAAGGGTACACAAACATCAACTGGCAACAAAAAGACACAACCAATATTCACTCATCATCATCCACATGGATAAGGAAAACCACCAATTCGATTGGGACAACACCAGGATCCTGGGACAGGCGAAGTAGAGACAAGCATGGGAATTCCTAGAGGCCTGGTTCTCCACTAAGAAGGCCATCAATAAACACATAGAGCTAGACCCCATATACACTCCATTGTGAAGGAAAATTGGAAGTGAGGTAATCCAGCTCAACGGACACCAGAGTTTAAATACCAGGTGGGAAAACACAACGGCGCTTCATCGGAGGCTGCACTGATGATGTTACCCAGCAGGGTAATGAAACGTCTGCCGAACAACGAACCAGCTCGACGAGCCAACCAACCACAACATCCACAACCTGAGCTACAAATCTACTCTAAAACCTTAGTGGGAATGTTTGCTGATGACTGCACAGTGTTCAGCACCATTCGTGACTCTTCAGATACTGAAGCAGTCGAGGTCTAAATGCAGTAAGTGCTGGACAAAATCCAGGTTTGGGATGACAAGTGGCAAGTAACAGTCATGACACATAAATGCCTAGGCAATGACCATCTACAACAAGAGACAATCGAGCCATCACCCCTTGACATTCAAATGGCATTACTATTGGTGAATCCCCAACTATCAACTTCCTGGGGGGTTATCGTTGACCAGAAACTGAACTAGCCATGTAGATACATGAGCAGGTCAGAGTCCAGGAATCCTGCAGCGAGTAACTCACCACCTGATTCTCCAAAGCCTGTCCATCTTCTACAAGGCACAAAGGAGTGTGACTGAATACTCTCAAACAATACTCGAAATCCAAATCAATATCAAGGATAAAGCAGGCCACTTGATTAGCACAAGTTCCCTCCAGGTCTCTCACCATCCTGACAGGGAAACACAAATGGCACCTACACCAAATGGATTGCAGTTGTTCAAATCAGCTCATCACTACCACTTTCTTAAGGAAAACTGGGGATGGGCAATGCTCGCCCAGCCAGTAACAACTACATCCCATGAATAAAAAAAAAAAAAAAATCAATCCTGCAGGCACTTAAATGAAGTCACATGCTTTCTTAGAAGTGATGCATTAACTTTGCCATTCCAAATGACTTTCTGACCACTTAAAAGAAACAGTTATATTGACAGAACTGAAAACAAAATCTGTGTCTGTTTTAAAAATCTAATTTGTCAAATGATAATGTAGATATTATATGCTTTTACCAGAGGAGGCCAGACATCATCGATGATGTGAAATCCACCAAATGTGTCTACACTCCCCAGGGAACTCAAGATCCTTTTTTCAAATTTGGCTCCAAATTCCCAGAACCTCAGGACATCGAGACTGCACTTCTGCAATGGACCACACGATATTAGACCAGAAAATTCAAGTGCTGCTCGCTGATCTGCTTGAGGCTTATAGATTAAGTAACGTCGATAGGGTTACAGCCGTTCTTCCACCACTGCTGAGTCTGTGACTATCCAAAAGTCTGGTTTTCACCTTCAGGCACTGAGGTACCAACACTTACAATCTCATGATTGGGCTCCAAAATCTCAGTATCTTTCACAGACATCAAGAAAAAGGTGCCTTATGTACTTTGCTATGGCCTGCTCCTCCCTCAATGGATCAAGGAGACGGAGTTTGTTTGGTGTAAGTTAGCTGCTGCATGTCCAAAGTGGAGATGACCTAAGTTTTGAAAAGTACTATATAAACTAAGTCTTTCTCTTTCCTTAACCTCCCTTTAACTATTTGAAACAGAGAAAAAAGTGAAAATCCAACCTGGGTCAGCTACTTGTTTCTTCTTGGAACGCTGAATAATTTGGTTTTCATTGGTCATTTTCACATCCTGATCTTCCACTTGGTTACTATACAAGAATAATTCAATAAAACATCAGTGAATATGTTCAATGGTTTAACAGGGATATGCTGCTTTTTTGAACTGAAAACAACAAATGCTGGAGATCACAGTGGGTCAGGCAGCATCCATTGAGAGACAGCAAGTTAACGTTTTGCATCTAGATGGCTATTCATCAGAGCTTTCTCAGCTTATGGTGCTTTTTTCCTGATCTCTTCACAAAAGCCGAAGCATATCCAGTTACTGGCATCATAATTGGCACAGAACCTCAGTCAATGTTTAAACAAAATTACAAGGATCACGGTCGCGGCTCATTTTATTTCCCTTCTTTTTTATGAATTATGCAAAGTGAAGTATAAAGTCTCTCTGCCTGCACTACAAGTACAAATGCACATTTAAAACAGGCAAGTATATTTCTAGGATTGTTACAGTATCAGGAAATAATGGCTGTCCTAAATAAAATAACTGCCAGCAAATGACTCAGATTACCAGAAATACTCATGCTACTGTCAGAATTAATTCCACTGGTGAATATCACACACTTTATTATTTTTGCACT